GGCCAGATACTGCACGAGAACTTCCACCACCATCAACAGAGGGCCAGACACTGCACGAGAACTTCCACCACCATCAACAGAGGGCCAGACACTGCACGAGAACTTCCACCAACATCAACAGAGGGCCAGACACTGCACGAGAACTTCCACCAACATCAACAGAGGGCCAGACACTGCACGAGAACTTCCACCACCATCAACAGAGGCCAGACACTGCACGAGAACTTCCACCACCATCACTTGTAGTCGTAATGATGGAGTAACCACCACCATCACTTGTAGTCGTAATGATGGAGTATCCACCACCATCACTTGTCGTCGTAATGATGGAGTATCCACCACCATCACTTGTAGTCGTAATGATGGAGTATCCACCACCATCACTTCTAGTCGTAATGATGGAGTAACCTAATCTTACTGACGCACATTTGTTAGGTTTTCGTTTCTTTGTTTTAGCACAAAGTTTCCCAATGAACCACATTCAGTGTGTTTGCCGCAGGGTTCAAATTCCATATTCTAGTATTCAAGGCCATGAAACTTACTGCTGAGCAGCCGAGGGACAAAGCTAACGAATGTTAACATGATATCCATAATGCGTTAATAAGATTTCTAGAAGCTGGTTTATTTAAATACGAACACTTACCTTTTGAACAAAACTATCGACATTGTCATACACGTACTTTAATTCAGCAAGCACCTGAGAGATGTAAACAAGAATAAAAATGTTATTAATTAGCAGAAAGATCCGTGTGAGTCTAGACAGTTGATATTCTAGTTTTAATTTTGTACAATCATATTTTTTGCGTCAAAGCATTTCGAAATAACAACTGAAAACCGTAACTTTGACTTTGGTTTTAATATTACCATGAATTATATTTCCACCTTCTGTCTATGTTTATATTTTAAATGCTGTATTAGTTAAAAGAACATCTTCCTACTTCGTTTGTTTGTTCGAACATGGAGTGCATTTTTAAAGGATTTTATTTATTTTCACTCCTCTAAGTAGGAGATAATAATATCGAAATGTTTTTTTTTGTTTTTTAATTTCGCGCAAAACTACACCAGGGCTATCTGCGCTAGCCGTCCCTAATTTAGCAGTGGGGAGGCAGCTAGTCATCACCACCCACCGGCAACTCTTGGACTACACTTTTACCAATGACAAGTGGAATTGACCGTCACATTATAACGCCCCCACGACTGAAAGGGCGAGCATGTTTGGTGTGACAGGGAATCGAACCCGCGACCCTCAGATTGCGAGTCGAGTGCCTTAACCACCTGGCCATGCCGGGCCCATATATCGAAATGAAAATAAACCTTACTCTCTCAGTATCTTTACTGGTTATTTTTAAACGAACTGAAATATGCGCCGGTTTGAGAAAAGAGGTGCATATTGTCTTTAGGAGATGTAATAAAAACAATGTCATTGAAGACATTCAGTGGTTTGTTTTAATAGCATTTAAAGTTCGATGTAGGGTCCATCTCGGACCATAAAAATCCGTGGCAACAGGAACCTAAAATTATTCAAAACTACACCCAAGACTGCTTACTTATGTTAGCGGTTACAGAAACTAATATGTTTTTTTTTTTAGTTCATCTATTATTCGTGAAGCATTTCAGTGAAAAGTATAACAAATAATACATTAAATTCGCTAATTAGCGCCAAAGTTATAGCGATGTTGGGTTTTCTATATTTCGATCATCAACACGGACATGGTTTAGGTCGAAAAGATAATCCAATAAACATTCTGGGTTTAATTTCAGTCTTCTTTTTTTCTATTTCGGAAAGTTACCATTAAGAAACGCAGTACAGATTATTACAAAATGTTCTAAAATCATATTTATCTTAAATAACTCCATATGTTCACGTCAATCACCTAATAAAAGACAAGCTCGAAAACAGATGTTCACCTTGACCGACACGATGAACGTCATAAGGTTAAGTATAACATCACATTTAATTTATTTCATCCAACTATTTCACAAATACGAATTGACAAAAGCAAACTTACCCTTTCGAAAGCAAATACACCTTTTTGAAGATGTACAGGTAAAACCCCATCCGCCTGTAGAACGGAAAGCTGAAAAGAAAAAGTCAACTTCAGTGACAATAAATATTATTAGGCTTGCCTAAATGGACTGCGAAGTCGTGTCTAATAAATTTTTAATGTGATAAGTTAAAATAAAATAGATACTTCTGCATAATAACTGGTAAACTGTACGTTCCTAACGCAAGAAAGAATACAGTACGGTCAAATTTTTGATACTATATTTACAGACTTTCGTAAACAGCCCAGTCTTTGTTTTGATATCTCCTCTCATTGTCGTTATCAGTTTATTCAAACCTAACGTGAAAACTTTACCTCCACAGTCAAGTAGGAATGATTTTAATAATAAATGCGCATATTTGACTCGCTAATTATATTAAAATAAGGCGAATGATATATATACAATTATACAGAAATGCACTGTGGTGAAGTAGTGTACTAATACAGAAAATGTTCTAAATTTCAAGATTTTTTGTAAGATTGTTTTTTAGATATTTCTAGAACGTTGTTACTAACTTCCCATCAGCAACTTAATACACTACTCTACCATATTTTCTGGATCAATACATTTCAACACATTTTCTTAGAGCACCACTTCACCACATTTTCTTAGAGCACCACATTAGAACATTTTCTGTATTAGTACACTACTTCACCACATTTTCTTAGAGCACCACTTTAGAACATTTTCTGTATTAGTACACTACTTCACCACTATTTTCTTAGAGCACCACTTCACACCTGTTTTATTTGTCGTTTTGAGGATTATATGGCGCAAAGCAGTAAGGTCTATCTGTACTACATACACATTGTAAGAAATATTATCCGTTAAATGATGTAATACGTGTGCTAGTAACATACGCCAATCTATGTCTTCTCGACGTAGATACTATAACTACTACTGAAACGTCACTGTACTAAGGAAACACATAAAAGTAAAGAAGTCGTTCAATTATAATATAAAAACCCGATAACACGAGGAAGGTCGATCTTTAGTTATCTAGTTTTCAGTAAGATTAAACACTTACTCAAACTAACGTCTGGCAATACTCTTCTGGTAATATAACTAATGTTCAGCTAAAAATAATTTAAAAAAAATGAGATTAATATTATCCAGTATAAGTTTGTTTGTTTTGAATTTCACGCAAAGCTACACGAGGGTTATCTGCGCTAGCCGTCCCTAATTTAGCACTGTAAGACTAGATGGAAGACCATCACCACCCACCGCCAGCTCTTGGGGCTATTCTTTTACCAACGAATAGTGGGATTGACCGTCACATTATAACGCCCCCACGGCTGAAATGGCGATCATGTTTGGTGTGACGGGGATTCGAACCCGGGACCCTCAGATTGCCGAGCCTCCTAGTATAAGAGCTTAGGGAAAATTCAATACTGAGTTGCATAATTATCAATGGACAGTTTACGCAGAGAGATAATGAATTTGGGAGACCTTTAAAATCTGATGAATGGTTACTACTTGTTTGTTTACTCATTAATATTTGAAAGAGCTATGTTCATAATATTAGCATTAGTCTTTCTTATACACGACATTTGAGTAGGGGCAAGGTTTGTCAAAAGTTCTTTGTGTTTCAGATCTGAGTAAGTACGACACTCACTAAAGCAATCCATGGTGAACACTTGTTAATACGGCGACAAATATAGTTACAGTTACTAAGTTACTCAAAACACGTAAAATACCATTAGAGAACAATACGATCACCTTAAACTGAGAAAACATATAGCTCATTGGTTCCTACGGTAACATATGACATCACACCTGTTAAATTTATGGTGATTATTTATTCAAAGTTTCAATGATGAAACTGACAATGAGAATATCACAATGAAAATATTTCATTCAACCTGCACAGGATACTTTCACTGTACTGGAGGAAGCCACCAGACTTAGACTTGACATAGACAACGCTCTTGAAGAGCTGTGTGAGGAAAGTGGACAGCCAGAGGAAGCCAACATTGTCCAGTGCTTGCGTGTCCTGGTTTTAAAACTGGCGGCTTGTTCCAGTCTTAAGTCCTTTCAATTAGTCAGAAAGGAAGAGGTATTGTTTGTTCTTTGTTAATAATAACACATACACACACCCATGTATATATATATATATACAATATTTTATGTAATATTAAGTAACATTGAGCGTGTCTAATGAATCAATGTAATATCTCATTCTCAAAACGAGACCCAAAACTCGAGCGCTTTGATTACAACTTTCGTAGGTGATCCTGTGTGTTAACTAATCAATTTGGATCAATATTGTCACTCATTCTAATCTTTATAATCACTCAATATTTTAATTTATATCGTCTCTCTTTCTACTTACAATAATTGTTTCTTAC